CATTTCGGCCTCTGCTGAGAAAGGGAATGATGGACAGATTTCATCTTCTCAGATCACCCTTGCCAAGCAACACATTGAAGAACATGGAAATGTGGCTTTTATGTCGCTGTAAGTTTTAAGGTATTTGGGAATATTAGAAAAATCCAGTACCTTCGAGGGACTGAAACATTCATATTCTGACTTCCAAAGCATTTATTTGCATCCCCATTCACTTGTAATTTTAAGGACAGTAACTTAGTGAACATACTGAACAGATGATTTTTTTTTTTTTTTAAAGACTGAAAACTGTCACTGTTTCAGCATATTTCATCTTCCAATGGTTAAATAAATCATTATCTGCTTACTCTAATTTATACATTTGTGTTGTCCAAGATTGGAGACACATTAAACAGAACATATAGTCATGTTCTAAGGCCAAACTGGGCCACGCCAAAGGTCTGTCCAGACCAGGATTCTCTCTCCAGCAGTGACCAAAAATTAATGCAAAGCAAAGCATATAAGAACATGATAATTTTTTCCAGTTTCTAGCTAGCATGATGTCCCCGAGTTGGATGTGGTTTCTGCATATTTAGTAGCCTGGATTTCTTTTTTTTAACTTGGCAAATCTGTCTTTGAGCCTGCATAAACTTTCAGCACACCCACAGCATCCTGTAGGAAGGAGCTCCCCAGCTCAACTACCTGTTGCAAGCCACCTCCTTGGCTTGCTTTGAACCTGTCTCCTTTTAGATTCATTTGATACACCTTAATTTCTATATGCTCCCCTCCTCCACATAATCATGGATGCATAGACCTCCCTCACACCCTCAGTCATCTAATTTACACTACAAGCATCATAAGGGCTGACAAAATCTGACCTCATTACTCAACACTTTTTCAAACCCATAACTTACACCCACACCTAATCTTAGCCACACTCCAATAACCCTTGCCAGCCTTGGGACAAACCGTGCCTGTACAGCTCACCAGCTGACACGGAAACCTTGCGAGAGTTAACAATACTCCTTTGGGTTCATCCTGTGTCAGCCAAGACCAAAACTCCAGATCTAATTTTATGCATTTCACAAAGACTGCCACACATTTCCAAACTACTGGTTTTCTTTTTTATTCCACTTATTGTCATCAGCCTTCCTCCTAGCCCCACAGAGTTGCCCAAGTCTTACAAATAACTTTCAACTCTGTTGAAAACCACAACATTTACCCTGGCAAGACATGCACATTGCCACTTCAGTGCAAATAAAGATGACTGCTTGCAAACAGGAACTCCCATTTGTGCCCTGCATGATCTTCAGAGAGTTACAAGACAACTTGCCCGCTGCCTGAGCACTAGCCCTTGCTTCAGTCATAGTTAAGGTGTTAGTAACCACCTCAAGACCACCAACTCTGGCCTTTCTTTTAGTTTCTTGGAGCTTTTCCCTTCTGGTCTTGACACCAAACTTAGCTCTTCCACTCCCTTCCTCCCAACTCAACCCAAATTGCAAATAACATCCTGGCTTTAAATTCAGTGCTGTGACCTAATTACTGCCTTCAAAACCTTGTTCAAAGCTTTTCCCACCAACTCGTCATATGCCGCTGCTGTAGGTGTCCACAGCTGAGGAACACACACTGCTTAGCAGCTTCTCTGAGGCTGGGCCATAACCACAAACTCTCCCATGTGACTGGACATTCACCAGTTGGGCAAGCAACCACACACACCAGCACCTACTTGGATGTTGAATATCCTCGAGCCTTGATGTCCTAGACCCTAACCTAACGTCACCCCTAACACCGGGGCCAGCAAGTTGTATCACCTCCAAATCCACACTCGAGCAATTTACTCAGCTAACACCACTTCTTATTTCCAACCTGTGGAAATACCAGGCTTTAAAAAACAATCTTACCTCTTCAGCCTCCCTCTTCCTTGCACCTAAGCTGAACGCCAGCCTTGCGCCTCAGCCTAGCCTTCCCGCTGGCCAGACACACGGATCTTCCTGGAAACCAGGCCAACACCCTTCAACCTTGCTGGCTCCGTCTGACATCCCAGTCCTGCGCTCATGATGTCAGTTCTGGCACAATGTCAGTTCTGCAGCAATAGTTTCAGCTCTAACCATGGTAAGATAAAGTCCCAGGTGAGAGTTATAGTTTGAGTCTGAAAGAGGAGGTGAGGAAGGAAAAGGTTTGTTGCCAAGACAAGGGCTGTGTTCAGTGGGCGCATCGTGGGCTGTCAGTTCAGAGACAGTCACCAGCTCTCCGTCTACCTTGCAGGATTGACCACTCACCCATTCGGCAAAAATTTGCCACGCCAGCTGTCCAGAAACTTACCCTAAGGTATCATCCACATCGACTGATTAGTCTTCCCACAGCTCCACAAGACTGGCAAGATACAACAATAAAAAAACAGCTCTCATCTCCGATTTCTTGTTTGTAGGTGGACCCCACAGGTCTAACATGAAGACTACTGCCAGCAGCACAGCTGGGCCTAGAGCTAGCTCCGAGGTAGCCGGTGGGTCACTGACTATTTTGAAGTGAAGGGTTAGGGCCTGGGTTCAGGAAAGAAGGTGTTGCTGAGCAAGCCTAACGTGCTGGCAGGTGGACCCTGCAGGCTTAAGATGGTGCGTGGGATCAGGACAGCCGGGTTTTGGCCTCTTTCAGGTTGTTTGGTTGCAAGTTCAAGGTAGTCGTCAGCTTAAGATCTGAGTTCAGAGAAACAAGAATTGCAGAGAAGAATTTATAGACATATTCTGCAGGTACCTCACATCTAAGATGAAGGCTCATGCCAGAAGACTAGGGTTAAGGTCAACAGAAGCTCAGGACCCAGCTTCTTTCTAGATCATACAGTGCCCAGAGAGTGAGGACAGGGACTATCACAGAAGGTCAGCAACAAAATCCACAGCAGGGAAAGTGGCAGATGCTGAACTGTGGCAACACACTGTCAGGACTCTGATGAGCCTCACCTGGCCCCACACCTGATACCCATTGCTGTAGGAGCCCCATTTCAGCTCAGCCCTGTCTCCTGGATGGACCTTGGACCTGTGCTGTAGGTAGCTTGTCTCCTGGATGGACACCCACAGACACGTGTTCTCACTTGTCCTTACTCCTGCCCCTCACTTGGACTTTGGGGCAATGTTGCAGCCTTGCCTCCAGTCTGGAGGACCCTGACCAGGATTCAGCAACAAGCCTACTTTCCAGCTCCTGTTGTCAGGACCCATGCCTGAGCATCAGCCATGGGAGGTTGGTGCTTGATCAGCAGGGAAGGAACTGACCAGCTAAATTTAACTCTGCATATTAGAAAGCCACGTAACGGCTGGCATCCAGGCTTGCCGAAAGAATGGGGTTTCTGGATAGAAGATACAGGCTTCTGGGTAAATTGGGTAAAGTGAGGATTAAGATCAAGCTCAGCAGAAGTGGAAGAGCTGGGATAACTACAGGGTTTTAGAATCCCTCCAGAACAATAATACTGGTTTTTACTGGCAAGGGTTTCCTTAATTAAATTTGGAGCACGTAGGTATTGCTGGACTGCAGGTGAAGCCAGGGCTGCTGCTGGGATGAGGGAGGACCTCAGCCAGCAGCACTCTCACTTGTCCTTCATAAGGCTGTTAATAAAAAACACAGTTACCAGTGCCGGTGGTAAAAGTAGTCACTGTTTCGTACCCCAAGAATGACTTAGCTTTTGGGTTTAAAAAATTCCCCCTGTCATTACAAGCTATAAAGAGACAAACACACGAAAGACATTTGCAGCACAGAATACGTAATTGGAATCAGGCCAGGATCATTTATGACTTGATGACCCCCATCTCAGCATAAACATATCAAAAAGAGACAGCAGCAAATCCTTCACGCTGTGCTGCACAGAGTCTGGTACTAATGACTCTGCCAGAAATGCTGCGAACAGATCAGAGCTTTCCAAATCAGACAATGTGCTTCCTGGAAGCACTTTTAGCCTTGATGGTAATAGGAGCTGTTGTCACATTATCATAAAGGTCTCCCAAATGAGATCCAGTCCGATTCTGCAACAGATGTTGAATAAGGATTGCTTGATCTTAACCTGTGTCTCAGCTGCAATTCCACTGTTGGAATGAGGAGCCAGCAAGGCCAGAAAGTGACTCAGAGGAGGACTGTTCCCATTTTCATTTGAGACGTCAGGAAATTCCTCCAGAAGCCTCCAAAGTGTCTTTCCCCAGTTCAGTAGCTAACCAGAGCAAACTGTTACGCACATGGCCCCCCTCTTGAGAGGAAATCAACTCCCTACCACCTTCTCAGAGCACTGGTCTGGTTAGGTCTGGAGGGAAGAGTTAAGTCGCAGCTGCCACTGCCCTGCCGGTCTGGCCCAGCAGAGCCAGAGGGATGTGCTATCAGCCCACCTAACCACACACTGGGTCCCAGGCAAGGAGAAAAAAAAAAAAAAATTACCAAATTTAAGCACTTCTGTATCTTTAAAAAAAAAATCAGTGATAAAATAACATAAATAAGTTAACACAAATTTCAGGTTTGTTGTTTTTAATTAATCCATGGCAGCCCATCCTATGTTTAGCCAGAGCTGTGCAGCACTCTGTGCCACCGGAGTCCTGCCTTCCACCTTCACTGATCAGCCACCGATATTCCACCAACAGGCATGGTCATCCCCTTTTTATAGAAACTTCAGCTGAAGCCGAAACTCTGAATGCTTGCATCCCATACTTCAGGAGTAGCCAGTTTTAAGGTTCAGAATTAGGCTTCAGTCACTGGGCTTTCCGGTCCTGTGCTCAGGCAATTAAACTATATTCTTTGGGCTTTGCATAAAAATAAGCCCACATTTTTCAGTAAGAAAGCATCTGTAATATAACTCTACAGGACCCGGAGTGTGCTTTGGGGTTCAAATAATGCTGGTTGCTTTCTATCCTGGACAGAGCAATAAGGAGAAGTAATTAAGTTAAGACAACAAAACAAGTCTTCTCATTTGCCATCTGTAAAACATTTTAGTACAGGGAAAAAATAATGTCAAGACTACACTTTTGAAAACTTTTGTTTGATTAGTGGCATTGTACCTCGTCAGTAAATACGGCGAGAACGAAGCTGGATTGTCCTGCTCTGAAAACATCGGCATGGATCCTCCCATTATCCAGAGGCGGAAATACAACACGAGAATCACCTTCAAAGAAGAACATCTCGGTTAGCAATGCGCTCCTAAGAAGAACTAAGGCCTCCAGCAAATATTTTGTTGTGATAGCTCTCCATGCTCTGCTCTGGTGCCTAGAAGTGAGCCAGCTCAGCAGTTCAGGCAAAATTCAATTTTGCCGCCCTATGCAGGGTGACAAACGTGCCAACCCTCAGCACAGACAACATGCTGTGTTGTTGTGTCCCCTCACTTTTCATGTGTGCATTACTGACAGCAACTGGCATATCTCGGCTACCCACGCCAAATGCAGCCTTTTGAAGGACAAATCAGTCAGCCTGCTGCAGCTCAGAGTTTCGCTATTGACCTCTACCTAAATACAGAGGGGAAAAACATGGCTGACGTCTTAAAAGCTAGGATCGTTCACTCATGCTGGCACAGGTGTAAGGACAAGCTTCATCGGTGTTTCTCATGCTGTGTAACCCTAATCCCTGGAAGGAATTCTGCAGGCTGGCACTCCTCCACCTTTCTGGGAACGACTTGTCAAGGGACAAGCAAGGGGATCCGGCTCCTAGAGCAGCACAGGGAGTTGCACACCCCCGTGGAGGTCTTTGTTTTCTCCCCTGCAACATGTCAAGTCCTGCCTGGAGCACGCCAAGCAGCAGGTATTTGCAGGCAGAGCTTTTCTTGTGACTCTTACCGAGCCCTGCACTGAAACTAACAGCATGCCACTGAAAAGCCAGTGCCACAGAGTCCCCCTGTATTTAGGGCAGGAAAGGCTTGCAGATGATTACACGGTTGTAAGGGCAACCACTATAAATTAAAAGAAAATTTGAACTGAAAACACAGCAATATTCTTGTCTCTGCCCAGCTGAAGTTTTCTAGACTATCTTCCAAGACTAACTTTGTATTAGTTACACGTAAGCTTTCTTCTGGGTATCTTTTGGGTATCTTTCGGGATACCACCACGCAATGTTCATTCTCGTCACATACACAGAAATACATAGTCAAGTCCATTCGTACTTACGTAGCTTATCACCAAAGCAGCTCTCTTCAAAAAAGGCCTTGCAGTATACAGGAAATTCTGGTTGTTATTTGCAGTCAGGTAGCTGAAATATAAGGAAACAAATATTTGTTGAAATGCTTTGAAACAATAACTCGTTTTTCAAGCTGGGAAAAAATCTGTACATTGTTTTAACCACCCTAAACTAATGTGCAGTAATAATGACATCACTCTTACCCTTCAAAGCTCTTTCCACATGACTTAAGTAAAGTATTAAGACCACTTCAAATAATACACACTATAATACATTGCAGTTTACCCATCAAAATCTGGTTTTGTTTTGGTTTGGTTTTTTTCAAATCATCAATTAACTCCTTAATCCTCAGAAAACCCCCATGCGTGTCTCACTAAGATTGCTGTCTTCAGACTCCCAGAAGACTACACCGAGACACATTTTTAAAAGGTCACCCAAACAGAGCAATTCAATTTTAGGCCATGATTAAAATGCAAAAACTCCTTGTTCCCAGCTCTCTGCTCAGTCTCTAGAGATGGGAGTAACTGTCTAGCAGAACTGAACTTATTTTAAGCATTTTTTTTTTAAGTGTATTCTGCACGCTTAAGTTTCATTGTAAGTCTGCTGACAAGGTTTTATGATAATTAACTGCACAGAGACAAACACACGGGTGGCTTATTGTTGTAGGAGCGTTCATAAAAACCTTCCAATTTCTCAATAAGTAAAATTAAACTGGAGCCAAAACTACATATTTATTTTAATATAGAATAGAAGCACTTGCCAAATTCTAAGGAGCTTTCTTAATATAACAAACGCTGCCATACCTATGACATTAATTCAATGATAATTCCATTTCTATTGAACCTTGCAGAGGCTTCGTCATTGTAATAAAGCGATGAGAAACAGAAATACAGAAGAGACAACAGGAATATTTTAAGCATATAGGAGCTAGAAAACTATTGAAAAAATGACAAATAATTTTAAGAAGTTATAAATATCAAGTAAACAAAATAAATTCAGATGGAAAATATTTGCAGGTTCCTCTGTGTAACATACAATCAGTATCGGGATACTCTATTTAAATGATTTACAAAAACTGCAACATCAATCACAACACCTGCACGCAAGTTACCTTTCCAAGCATGAAAGCATCATGAACATCTAGCATATAAAACGCATCTTACTTCCTCTCCACATTCCTCAAGACAGTCTATCATCTGATTGCTTCCACCCTTCAAGTCTTTGAAAAAACAAGATTGCAGCACTTCCTAATGCTGCCAAGAGTCTTTAATATCTGGCTTTTTGTTCAAATTTTCTATAGTAGGAAGTTTGCAAGCCTGGTCACCATGGCAAGATGGAGAAAAGATTACACTGCAGACAAAAGCACCAGGGGCAAAGCCAGCAAGAAACAGAGGCTGCATTTAACAAGAAGAAAGAAGTACATCTGGGTGCCCTCTACAAAATAACTGCTCTTCAGAAAACTTTCCCTGAGTGTCGTGCCTAAAACTTAGGAACCAAACCATACATTGTAAAGCAAGCCAGATGACATTCAGTCTTTAGTGTCTACTTATTTACAAATGTTGACATTTAAGCACCAAATCTGACTTAAATGTCAGACTACTCTTCAAGGGCTGAACTCCGCAAAGTGCAAAGTTTTTTGAGCTCCCACTGATTTTAATCAGGCTCCAGCAAGTAAAAGTGAGATGAAACTAAGACTTCAGCTTTCTCTCTCCTTGAAAGGTCAGGTTGGCCTTCAAGTGTTCACCATGGCCCTGCTCCAAAGCCCACCAGAGCCAAAGCAAAAGACTCTCAGTGACTTTAACAGCACTTGGATCAAACCCCGGTCTTTTGTTCCATACTGGAACCTTTTATGAAACTCAACCCTCTCGTGATTTGCAGCGGGAACAGAAGTGTTGGGTTGCATTTTGTTTATATTTTTATGGGTGGAGAGAGGAGAGCCCTCTATTAATCACACTGCCTGACTCTTTTCAAGAACCTGTTTTCACTCGCTTGTAGTTTTAACTAACACTTTGGGCAAAAGTATTCCATTACAAATATTTGCTTTAGGTGGAATTCTTCTGGGAAAAGATCAGCCATAACAGTTCAGCTTTTCCTCCAAGACTTCAATTAGAGACAGAGGAGCACTTTTATCGGTGTCAGGAAGTCTGCCAACTTCATCCTTGAGAAACTGCATCACCTCGCACCAGTGACCTAAAATTCGTGAGGCGGCCGTCATCTCCGGGCCACGTTTTTGCCACCCTCCAGAAAAGCCACCCGCGGCCGGGCAAGCTGCAAGCTCGGGGGGCGGCACCTGCGGGGAGGTGGGGACACGCAGACCCTGCTGCTTTGCCATGCTCAGCGGGGGTCTGGCTTTTGACAGATCAAGTTTGCATCAAAGATGTTCCAGCTGGAACAACTGCTAGGGACAACACACTGTTTGCGAAGGCAGCCCTTCACAGAGAAGGGTAAACTGCATTTTAGGCTGCTGAGGCTCAGGAAAGCGTGTCTGCGCTTCAGGGCCTTGCAAACACTGATCTAGGTCTGGAGACCACCATAGAAGAACCCTCATCATTACCATCTCTCTGTTCCCTCTCAAGCCTGCCCTGAGGAGAAAATTAAAGCCAGAAAATGAATGTAAGTGGAAGGCAGTAGCTGCTCTTTCATCCTTGGCAGTACAGTGCAGGAACGCTTACTCCTTAAACATCTTGATTTTGACTTTTTTTGTCTGCCTAAGAGTAACTGAAATGCTGCCCACATCTCGCACCTTCCTTGCAGCAAGCATAACACCATGCAAGCTAGCAAACACAGTTTCAAGGCATGAGTTTATCTGCAAGTCAAAGTTAATTTCAAGTGCTCCACCGAACTGCAGGGTAGCTCTGGCCACCGCAGAGCAGGCCTTTTGAAAGCATTTCAGAAAATCCTGAAAGGCCCCTCACAGTTTATGTTTTGGAGCAGTAACATCTCCAGGAAAAAAAGAAAACCCTGCATTGACACCAATTGCAAATCACCACTCTGCGCTGAAGAGCAGCTGGGCACACACAAGAAGGAACCAGAACGAAAGCAACAGGTAACTGGGAATGGGTGAAGTAAGAGAGTTCAGAGCGCCCTGAGCTTTCTGGTCCTCCCTCCAAATGCTTTTGCTACTTTGCAGCTTCGGTTAAGAAATGTTTCTTTCTGCAAAGCTTTTCCATTTTGAGAAAGCTGCTGTCCCGAAGTCTGGAAACCACGAAAGATAACGTGGTTCACTACTTGGTAATCCAGCTGTCTGCCCATCAGATCAACCTGCAGGAGTGGCATAAACGTATAGCTTATGCTCAGTGCATCAAAGCTTTACAAGAACCATGGGGTTTTCCAGAGTACCTTATCGAGGCTACTACTTGTTTCAGGAAAGGTAAAACATCTCATGCCTGGTGCAGGCGAAGGACAAAACACAGTTTATGTATTAAAATCAAATGAACAGCAAACGGGACCTGGATGAGGAAGTTTGCTAAATGTCAGTGACACACAGCCTGTAAAATGCAGCAGCATTTTACATGTAAAATTGCAGCTTGCAAAAACATCTGAAGTTATGTTGAACTTCACTCAGACAACCTTAAGATCAGCCAAAGCTCTTTATTTTGTCTTTAGCTAGGACAATCAAAGAAATTACTATTACAACAGTTTAACTGTTTTATACCCGTTTTAAACAGCTGCTTTGTATAAAGTCATTCACAGGTCAGATTTCCATGCATTTGCCAACCACACCAGGCTGCCAAACATCCCACTGTTCATGGGAACCACTCCCTATCACCTGCTCCACCCCGACCAGCGTAATGTGGCTCCCCATGCCAAAACACACACACGCATTCATTCCCACAGGAGAGCAGGCGTGGGACGTATGTAGGAAAACTGTATTGATGGTAGCTCCGCGCAGCAAAATGCTACCTCCAGAGTAGGCGAACATTCCAAGGTGTGGGTCTCCCAGATTTTCATAATGAAATGATAAAATTAGAGGAGGAAATCCAGATCGCCAGGTTTGCTAAACGAGTGTGAAAAGAGCCCATTTGGGCAGAGGTTCTACCTCTGCTTCGTGCCAGCTTTCCCACAAAGCAAACCAGCATGTAATTGCCTACTTGCTATCTTTTAAAAGCCTTTCAGGAATACTCCCTGAAGCAACCAGAATCACAACAAACAATAAATCCAAGAAATGCTTAGTATTGCAGGGACTTCTCCCTCACAGTTCGAGCGGAGGCCAGGACAGATATTTGGCAGCTCCCGCTTCCTGAAAAGCATGGCTCATCCTGAAATCAATTACATCATCAGGGCACTCAGAGGTTTTATAATTGAAGACAGCAGGGTAGGTGGCCTAGTAAAACTCAATACCGTTCAGTTTACAGGAATGTAAACTTTGCTGGTACCAGATGGACTCTGTGTTAATCAAAACAAACTTCTCTAAGAAGCAGGCAGCTTTTTTAATTTGCCTGTACCGTTGGAGGCATCTAGAGTTCACAGAAAGGAGCGGGGCAGCTCCTCAGCTGCCGTAAATTGCCACAGCTGCGTGAGCCATCGCAGACCGGTATCGGCAACACATTTATCCCACACTGCAGCTGACTCAGCTTTGGTATAAAACGTGAACTCGCTCTTGTGTTCTCTTTGAAGGCTTTCTCAAGGGAAGCGAACAAACAACTAAGATGTATGATGAATGCTCCCCACTGGAGACATCTAAAAGACCAAGATAAGTACGCAGTAGAACAAGCTTTGGTATTTCGAGAGCTTGTTTTGGCCAGGTCCCTCCACTGTGAGATGATCATTGCTCCCATTTATATTCTTCTCAGGAAACAGATCCAACTACCAGCAACCACCAGTGTTTTGAACTAACACTTTCAAAACCCTAATACTAAAGGAAGGCGTTAGAAGGATGAGTATAAAAGCAAGGCTGTTAACTTATTCTTAATTATTGATAACAGTAAGACATCTCTAATAAAGACATTTTTAAACTTAGAAGGGGCTATTTTAAGTGAACGTCAAAGCTTTAGGTTATTGGTAGATGCACAACTAACTCCAAACCAGTTTGACAGACTCCCCTGCTGAATTTTTAGAATGCAGAATTTTTA